AAATCTCACCGATATCGACGAGAACCTGTAAGCATCGACATCCCAGTTAACATGACCTTAATGATTCACAAATCAATTCGATCGAAAAAGACGAGAAATCGTTGGGAAAAAGACGTCGCCTGCTGCCGATGCTGAGGTCTTTCATTTTCCGGAATCGGCTCAACTTAAACGGCTTCCGAGATTTTTAACTGCCGTCTCCAGCCCGTCTGCGAAACTTGGAATCCGGGGGAGGGGGGGGGGGGGGGGGGGGGACAGCATCAAGGGGGGGGGGGTGGGGGCGGGGGGGGGGGGGGGGGGGGGGGGGGGGGGGAGAGAATTTCATGCGGAATCTTTTCCCACCTCTCCCGTCCTTAAGGAGGTATTAACGAATTTCAAGTTTCTCTACCCTCCATAAAAATCTAGGAATGCCTCCAAAGTCGGAAGTGGAGGGAACTATTAATAAAATCAGCTGTTCTGGTCGATGCGTGGAGTCGGATGCAATAAGCTCTCGAGGAGATATTCTCCGAATGTAATTTGCTTTGCTACATTTGCTACGTTCCAACCGGCCAACTCAAGGATCCACTAAACGAACGTAAACGAGTCATTTTCCATTAGGGAATTTTCCCTTGAATCCCTCAAGATGATTGCTATCGAAACGATCATCAGTGAAGAACGGTTTCGAGTGCTTCAACACGAAATGGAAGAAACATTTATCCACAGACACACGAGCTTCTCGAATGTGATGGATCGAAAAAGAAGGAGACAGTCGCTTTTCGACTGAGAATATCATAATGGACCTGTCGATGCGTAGACAACTTCAATTCCCTAATCGACGTTATTTTCCGTTTACATCGTTGAGTCAACACACCTCCGAGAGAGTGGAAAAGGAAGAGTGCATGGTCCTTTTTGTCGGGACTTTCCGTTCGAGCTGTCATTGATGGACAACGGCGCCGGAACTCCACTTAAGCGAATTAGTTTATCGGAAGTCCGAGAGGGAGAGGGAGGTCGTCGATGCGACACAAGTTCGACGGACCCGAGCTTCAGCGCTTTGCAGCCCACCTCGTTTCTCGACCCTTCGGAGAATCCCGTCGAATGGAAGTTCACCCGGACGCGATGGCCTGGAAAAAAGAGGGTAACTTTTCGAATTCTTCGTAGAGCATCCTCGGATGGTCGTTGAATGAAATTTTAAAAAGTTTATTTTTTTTTCCAGAAGTGAAACCATCCGCATTCCCGCAGGTGGGCTATTCCGTCCTCTGTGGAGGCCGAATTGGTGTCCGTCGCATTTTCTACTTCATCGTTCTCTCCGTAGCCGTTTTCCTCTCCGTCGTGCAGGTATCAGGTGTTCAAGCCTACATTTGAGGCCTCTAGTCCAATACATGGTGTCCCAAAAGTCAGAGATATACGGATCTGCCTGAACGGTTTTTAAATTCTGCCAGGAGTCAGGAGTCAGGAGAGAACGATGAAGTAGAAAATGCGACGGACACCAATTCGGCCTCCACAGAGGACGGAATAGCCCACCTGCGGGAATGCGGATGGTTTCACTTCTGGAAAAAAAAATAAACTTTTTAAAATTTCATTCAACGACCATCCGAGGATGCTCTACGAAGAATTCGAAAAGTTACCCTCTTTTTTCCAGGCCATCGCGTCCGGGTGAACTTCCATTCGACGGGATTCTCCGAAGGGTCGAGAAACGAGGTGGGCTGCAAAGCGCTGAAGCTCGGGTCCGTCGAACTTGTGTCGCATCGACGACCTCCCTCTCCCTCTCGGACTTCCGATAAACTAATTCGCTTAAGTGGAGTTCCGGCGCCGTTGTCCATCAATGACAGCTCGAACGGAAAGTCCCGACAAAAAGGACCATGCACTCTTCCTTTTCCACTCTCTCGGAGGTGTGTTGACTCAACGATGTAAACGGAAAATAACGTCGATTAGGGAATTGAAGTTGTCTACGCATCGACAGGTCCATTATGATATTCTCAGTCGAAAAGCGACTGTCTCCTTCTTTTTCGATCCATCACATTCGAGAAGCTCGTGTGTCTGTGGATAAATGTTTCTTCCATTTCGTGTTGAAGCACTCGAAACCGTTCTTCACTGATGATCGTTTCGATAGCAATCATCTTGAGGGATTCAAGGGAAAATTCCCTAATGGAAAATGACTCGTTTACGTTCGTTTAGTGGATCCTTGAGTTGGCCGGTTGGAACGTAGCAAATGTAGCAAAGCAAATTACATTCGGAGAATATCTCCTCGAGAGCTTATTGCATCCGACTCCACGCATCGACCAGAACAGCTGATTTTATTAATAGTTCCCTCCACTTCCGACTTTGGAGGCATTCCTAGATTTTTATGGAGGGTAGAGAAACTTGAAATTCGTTAATACCTCCTTAAGGACGGGAGAGGTGGGAAAAGATTCCGCATGAAATTCTCTCCCCCCCCCCCCCCCCCCCCCCCCCCCCCCCCCCC